TGCACATTCATAGGACCAAAGAGATCCATGTGCAGTAGTTGAAGAGGTGATGTCACTAAAGAGATTTGATTTGATTTGAAGTTAGCTCTTGTTTGTTTTCCTTTTTCACATGCTGAGCAAAGAGATTCCTTTGCAAAGGAGTGTTGAGGAAGACAATGACAAGATCATTTCTAGACAACTCACTGAGTGTCTTGAAGTTAAGGTGAGAAAGCCGTTTGTGCCACAGCCAGTTGATGTCTGATGAGACTTTAGAGAAGAAACAACTATTCTCAATGATAGATAGTCCATATTGATGATATAGACATTCTCTAGATGAAAACCGGTCAAGGAAACCTTATCATTTTGTCATAGACATAACATGAATTCTTGGAGAATTTGACTGTGTAGTTTTTATCACACAGCTGACTGATGCTGAGGAGGTTGTGATTCAGTCCTTCAACATATGCAACACACCTGAATGTGGTTGCGTCATTGGTTAATATACCAAAACCTCTGGTATATCCTTTTCCATTACCTCCAAAGGTCACAGAAGGTTTTCTTTCTTCCTTGTAGTTAATGAGCAGGGACTTATCTCCATTCATGTGCCTTGAGCATCCACTATCGAGATACCATATGCCTTTGACTTCCTACACAAGGGAACAGTTTAAAAATGCTTTTGGTACCCATCTATTTAGGTCCAACAATGTCAGAGGCTTCATCTTCTGAAACTGAAGAACCAGCTTCAGCAGATAGCTTCACTAAACCTGGAGAGGTTTTAGTGGAAAGAGGAACAACCTCTGACGCTAGAGAGATAGAGTTAGGGGATGTCTTCACTGAGCCTAATGAAGAGGCTTTAGTGGTAGGAACTACAACACCTGATACTGAAGGCTTAGTATCAGTAGTCGTCTTTACTGAGCCTAAAGAGGAGGCTCCGGTGGTTTTCTTCACCTTGGTTGCTTTAGCAGCCTTAGTGGATGATTTCTCTTTGGTTGATTTCTCAGCTTTAACTACTTTCTTTCCCTTGGCTGGTGGACCAGCCTTGGCGGCAGAAGGACACTTACTGGCAATGTGTGTAGTTTCACCAAGGTGCTTACAGTTCCTATAACTGAAGGTAACTTTAGGGCCAGGAAGTACCAAATTTGAAGAGGGACCAACTCCAAGGATTCCCTTCTCATTAGTTCTAGGAGGAACTTTAGAGTATTTGAAGTCCTTAGGTGAAGCATTCACCTTGAGCTGAGACTTAGATTTCTAAGAAGATTTAGATTTCTTAGTCCCTGAAGAAGAAGGTTTATAAGCTGAAGGAATAGATTTAGATCTATTTGACTTGTTAGTCTTCTTGGGAAAAGGTGTTTTAACAATGGATTTACCCTTGTCTTTGCAACCTGAACTCGAAGGAGTTCCATCAAGATGACTCTCAGCGAAACAAGACTAAGAGGAAGAATTGTCAGGAATAGAAGAGACAAACGTGTCAAACTTGAGCATGGACCTGTCAATGACATTGTCTTCCTGATCATAAAAAATTCCTAGACCAGTCTTTATCTTGTGTAACACCCCCAAACTCCACATTTGCATATAACACATATTTTATTACATAGAAATATAGTTTACATCAAAAGGTCCCACTAGTACAAGGATTTCCTATATATACAAAGTTTACATATAAAAAATTTTCCAAAACAAATCCTGTACTATCACATGTAATACAACATGTATCTTCAAAAGCAGATAACAGATTAGGAAAATAATCATATTTTCCCTTTCCCTTTAATATCCCCGGACCCCGCCATTCCTGCATTGCATAATTTTAAAACAGAAAATGAGGGTTAGACCAGAAGAGTCTAGTGAGTAAATCATTTCTTTGAAAATGCAGGGTGATACATTTAGTTAATAGCGGCAGTGATTCATCAAAATCTGCAAGATAGTTTCTGATAAATCCTCAGAGTTGGTAGAATCTAACTTAGTGATAACAACCGGAGGATGAGAAGAAGAAGAAGAAGATGGGAGTTCAGCTGAAGCATCTTCAGAGATTAAAGCTTACGGAGAGCTCTTCATTTCTCTAGAATCCTTGATTAGATTCCTTTTCAGCTGACGAGACTTCTCATGATTAAGCAGTATCCCATAAAAAGTGCTGAGAGAAAGAGAGGACATGTCATTGGACATCTCGAGACACATGGAATAAGTATCCCAAGACTCAGGCAAATATTCTAGAAACTTCGTTAAAGTTTCAGAATTAGGATATTCCCTGCCTACAGTCCTTAGATCGATAAGAAGATAATTAAAACGTTGATGTACTTCAAACAATGTTTCAGTCTTTCCACAGAGAAAGCTTTCATATTGTCTTACTAAATTAATCTTCCTCGATTCTTGAACCTAAGAGGTTCCTTCATATTGAACACATAAAGTGTCCCATTTGGCTTTCAAGATTCCGAGTTTCATAACAGAATGATAAACTTCATTAGGAAAAGACATAGCTATTATAGACCTAACACGAGTGTCTATAGCTATCTTCTTTTTGTCTTCATCGTTCCATTGATGAAGGAGCTTTGGAATCTGCCGTTCAGGAATCGCGGCAGTCGTAGCCGTTTCAAGAACAGTCGGAGAAATTGCATATGAAACATATGGTCCATTTTTTATATAATGTAGAATTTCAGGATCCACACCTTCCAAAAATAGGGACAATTGATTTTTCCAAAGACTAAAGTTGTCTCGGATAAAACGGGGAGGTCTTGCAAGAGAGCCATTGTCATGAAAGTGTGTGTTTGTGTTTTATAAAGCCATTTGAAAGTAGTAAGATTATCTAAAGAAAGAGATAATATAACACATAAAAACAACAAAACAACAAGAATAGAAATACACTGCGTTGATACCACTTGTTGGTCCCGTTAGGGTCTACAAGATGTGTATAACAGTTTGTAGAGGAGGGGGGGGGAATGAATACAAACACAATAAACTTTTCAAACTTAAAATATATATTGATAAAGAAGGATCAATACAGATTTTACAAGAGTGTTTGCGAAAAGATAATGTAAAGATAACCTATCTAAACAATCTAAGTTACACACTAATTCTTAGCAAAGATATATGATTTGTTGTTTAAGACTTAGAAGAAAGTAAGTTGTTTATGGATAAGAACTATTTAGAATACTAAAAAGGGATTCTAACTTGCTTTTGAAGATAAGCGTATTGTGTTCTTAGATGTGTGTTCTTTTACTTATGAACGTAAGTTAGGGTTCAAGAGTAATTGTTAAAGTGTCTCTGCATGGCGATAGAACACATCTATTTATACCCATTACATTAAATGTAATGGGTATAAATAGAACACATCTATTTATACCCATTACATTAAATGTACATTTAATGCAATGCAATAGAGTTTGAACATGCGTCAAGCCTTTAGAGAAAGATTTGTCCCTTTCCTACAGTGAACAAAAGCCTATTCATGAGCAGACATCCTTTCATGGAGTTGGCAGGTAGTAGAGTCAACTAATCGGCTCCGTACCGTACTATGATCTAGAAAAGGTATGGGTTTGTCCTTTGTGTGTGTAAGGACAAGACAAAAAAAAATCGTGCTCAACAAGCTTCTTTTGATCGCTGAATGTTGGAATAACCTAAAGGTCTCTTCAGCATTCGCTGAGGCTTGGGCAGTCTTCACACATGTGTAGACTAGGTTGTAATTACTGAAAACCGCTTCAGATCATGAACTCGCCAGTCTCTAATCTTCAGCTTCAGTCTTCGACTTCCGCTGAAGGTTCTTAGGTGTGAGTTTTGTCTTCTTGAAGTATCGCTGTCGCTGATTGATTTACATTACATGTTCTCAACGATCACTGAACGGACTCAGTGATGATCACTGGAACTGAAAGACAGAAACATAAATACTTCGTATAAGGTAAAATAGATTATCATCAAATCACTGAGAGAGAGGATCAACAGAAGGGAATATGATTGTGTTTCAAATAAAAAAATTATCATGCATAGGGTTGGGTCTCGGTGAGTAGGAGAGTTAAGATGAGAAATATAAGAAGAAATTTCCATCTTTACCGGATCAATACTTGTATCAAACGCAATTCATGAATAGGTTTGAGATTAAAGGTGATTAAGGATACAGATCATTTCTTACGCTTCTTATGTTTAAGGATGACGATTTGCCCCGACCCGGTGGGGAACCCAACTCCCTCGACCTGAATGGGGACACGGATTCCCCGCTAAAACGGGTCTCGGGACTGGAGATCCCCGGTAGACTCAGACCGGTGTTGGGGGGGCCCGGGTAGTGTACCTCCCGGTCCGCCCCATACCCGGTATGCTAATACTCATTTAATAGTATTTAGGCTTTGAAAATTCTGATAGTGGGTCTCTGTTGCTGACTTCTTGTTGGACTTCAAATAATAAGAAATTGAAATCGGTCGAGGTTAGTTCTCACTCGACGGCCCTCGGTTCTCCCCTCCGCCTCGCTCGTTGCCACTACCCACTCGCCAGTCTCCTCCAGCCCTTCATCGATGAGCCGGTGTGCCCTTCTGAATTAGACCGAGGATGGGGGCTTGACCAGGAAATAGATCGGGGACGGGATGTTAATTCCCGTACTCGCCGGGGATTACAAAACCCCGTTGTCATGCCTACTTATATTAACTCTTATTCTCACACAATCTCGCACGCGTGCGCGCACACACACACAGGTGATTTCAAATACAACTCACATGCTATAAACTACAGATCTGAGCATATCTGTTATTTTGATTATATACCTTAAATATCTCATTCAATTTTACATATTTAATAATATTTCTTAAAAATTCCATTCGTAAGATCATAATGCATGACTACTCGTTCATATATAAAACAATTGGTTGCACCACCTCGAAATAGGTGGTTTCATATTTACAAAAGCAATGGAGACAACATGCCAAGGAATGTTGGCATCCGATTTCCTCTTACATTCACGATTGAAGAGGACGGTTTTGAATGATGCCTAATATTGTTGCTTACTTTTTGAACAATGCAGTTACTCGTAGGAGGAGAAGAATCACTTAATTATGAAACAACACTGGCATAAACTACACACCCACTATGAAACCAAAAGATGTTGACATGCAAATGCAGCTATACATTTAGTCTTCAATATTGAACCTACAGGATTCTGCGTGAGTATACACATCTCTATCAATAACCAAACATAATGTAAAGAAAACCAAACTACCATCAACAAGTTTGTGAAGAAGCAAATCATCCTAACTTTCAACTCAAAAATGGCGGAGGCAACAGCAGATTTTCTTAATGAGACTGTGACTCGAGAAGAATATTTGTGGCAGCATTGATGTCGTTTCTGGCGTGAACAAGGGCTTGTCTCGCCGAGTTCCGATCAAACCCCATGGAAACCAGTGTTGCAATAGAATCCTCCGATGGCTCTTGGGCGGCAGACGACATTGGAGCGCGATAATTACCCTGAATTATAACGACCAAAAATTCATCATGGGCCTCGAGTAATACGCCTTTCATGTTCATATAAACCAAACCAAATAAATCCAATATATATACACACACACATACACACGGATGTAGGGCCTAAGAGTACAGGATATGTGTAGACTTTCCCTCTGTCCCAATGGATAGAGATGTTTCCGTGAAAACCTCTGAAAACAAAAATTATACTCCCTCCATCCAAAACAATGCCCACATTTCTATTTTAGTTTCGCCTAAAATAAGTGCCCACATTTCTATTTTAGTTTCGCCTAAAATAAGTGCCCACATTCCAATTCTATCCTAAATATGAGATGAGGAAATTCATTACACCCTCTATTAGTGTAATAATTACACATTTTTAAACTATATGCCCTTTTTATTTTATTATGGACACTTATTTTTGGGATGCGGTCGGTGCAAGGGACATGAGATGAAACAAACATGGGACACCATGCGTTGTACCGACAAACTATGAAAGCAGGAGGTAAACCACGTCTCACAAATAGTAAAAGAACTAAAATTAAAAAAAGATTGGAATTAAACCATAGAGTGGTGTATTAGTGACTTCCAACTCATCTAGTTAAATGATGAAATTTAATAGTATTTTCATATAGAAACTAGCGAATAGGGGTGAATATGGCATGGTACCATCATTTTTCCCCTTTACTATGTACCAACCAACTATAATTGGTAAGGAGAATCTTATACTATGTACCAATCAACATTACTTGGTACCAACTTAATCAGTACCGACTTTTTGTGGTTGGTATTGGTTTTATACCAACATTGCAAAAGTTGAAGTTACAATGTTCAATAGTTCATACTTCAAAAACTAATACAAGCAAAAGTAGACACTTAGATGAATACAGATAGAATATTGTAAAAGTGAGCAATGCATAGACAGCAAAAAAGGAAGTAAGAAACAATACATTTGTAGGGAAAAAAGATAAATATAACAGATTGAAACCAAAAATCATTGATAGGAACTTTCTTTTTAGCCTATTTATCTTAACATACGTGCAACATGAATAAAAAATAAATATTAGATAATGACAGAAATAAACGATGACATATTTCAAAATTTAATTAACAATTAATGAATGAAGTCGATATGGTATCGTAATACACAATATCTCATACCCGATACCAACAAGGATTGCATACTTGGTACATTACTACCAACTGACTTAAGTTGGTACCAATTTAATTGGTATGGTTGGTGCATGTTGGCTTGTTTGGTGCTAAATCAAAACCCCAACTAGTGGATGTTTTCTTAACATAGATGACCGGTGAATTCTTGCATGCAATATGAGACAGGAGCGCTATAATTTTTAACCTAAACATGGGCATGGACCGGTCAAAAACAATCTGGTCTGGTCAACAGCCTAGTTGACATAGTCCAGAAAGAGCCCGGACCAAACCAGGTCTGGCACCAGATCCGTACCTGAGAAGCGGTAATACTGTATATAGGTATGATGTCTTCTGTACTTAATTTTTCCTTGGCTGTATACATGTGATTCAGTCAGGTTTCATACCACACTAACGAGTGTTCGGTTTCTCTTTTTGAATGAAAAAAGAAGTATAGAAAATGCAACCCAAAAACAAGCATGGTTACAACACTCCCAAACATTCTTGTCTAAGCGGTAGCTCAACTGGTAAGACCATGTGTTTGCTCCCTATAGGTCACATGTTTTTCCATGAACTAATCAATAAATTAACACTAAGATAATTAAATATTCCTAAATATCATTACTTGTAAAGATTGAATGAAGAGCAATTGTTTAAACTCCTAAACTTGACTAAAACTTGCCTTCAAATTATTTATACGAAAGCCCTTTTTGGAACAGATGAAGTAGTAGCATTACTCCACTCAGAAAAATGCAAGCATATGGTTCATTCCACTTTGTATCTGCTTTCCAACCCTCAGATTGATATCATTTCTCCTGCTAATTTACCACCAACATTTTGCCTATTTGGACCATCCCACATAGCTTATTGTAATCATCAACTTGTACAAAAATCTTGGAATTCATATCAATGAAAAGACAAAAACATATATATTTTACTGGTGGTTTACTACTTTAATATATATATATATAGTTAAGGTATTCTATGACATGTATTCCCCCCCTAGGAATTTCACATATACTCCTTCATGTTTCACCTATTTTGTTTACCTCCTATCAATGCCTCTCAGCAAAAATCCACCTAAACAGTTATTGAGCAATTTCAAATCAAAACCTAACATAAGTCACAATATCCAATTCAAATATGAATTCCAGATGACTAGTACATCAAAGCACAACCCACAAACAAGTTGGAAATGAAATGGTGGGCACATAAAATACTTGAACAAACAAGATTAGCCACAAGCAATTTTGAAGTCTTATAAGAGAAGAGGGAGGTTCACGAGAGAACCCCAGAAAAAGTTGAACAAGGAACAACCGTTGGTTCTAAAAAATACAAGACCCAGATTCGTATGTAATGTAACTGCCCCCTATAATCATGGATTTAGTCTTGGCAAAATGTGACTGTCCCTATTATTCACAACCGTTGAATTAAAGTAGATTGATGGTTTGGATGAGTTCACTTGTTCTCCTTTTTTAGCGTTCTCTCTTGAACCCACCCCTATAAAGAAATGCATCATCCATGTTGAAACCTCAAGACAAAAGGAGCAATGTGAACCAAAAAGACAAATCAAAAGAGCATTTATCACCAACTAAACCGTAATTTGAACATTCCCAAATAATGTTTCTATTTACATTGTTCACCAAAACAATGTCGCCGCCTTTTTGCAAGGAATTTCAACATAATTTCCTTTTACATTTGAACCAGTCAAAACTTTTTGGTTATATTCTTCTATCGTGCTCATTCAAAATGGAATTAGTTTAGACACGTCTACAAAACAAACTACTAACATATGTATATATGTTCAAACCAATTACAGAAATAAAGATAAGAGAAATGATTGTTTCCTTGAAGAAAAATTGGTGCAAGAAATTTAACAACTTACACATGGGAAACAAGGCAAAGAAAGTTGAACTATTTTTGCAATTTGGATGAGGCATCTTAACTGTACAGTGAACTTTATATTTAAAAACTTGAACTTGGAAGCTGTACAATTTCTAATTTTAAGGAAGGTACAGGTATTAAAATAAGTTCCTATAACATCTCTTGCATATATGTTCAAGATGAGGATCAGAAGTTTTAATTACCTCCACTTGACGAGCTGTGAAGGGTGGTGCATTTCTAGCCAGTGGAGCAGGTCCTCCCACAGACGGCAAGGAAAGCCTTGAGAAGAAAGAGGCTATGAACTCTGGGAACTGAATTTATGAAAAAGAACAAGAATGTTAATTCTTGTTCTTGAATCATCATAAGACTTTAGTATTACAAAATGATGGTTAGATGGGTTGACCCTTTTATTCTTTTTCCCTTTCTGTGAGAATGACAAATGAACTTTTCACTGTGTTATGAGAAGAGTAGAAACCATGGAGATTCGAAGGCTTCAATTACATACCAGAAAGCATAATGTTTGTAACACCATGCCCTAGTAAAAATATTTATAATTAAGATCTAGCCCCACAGGAAATTCAGAAAAATACCTATATACAAGACACTTGGTTATGGTTGTTCATCAAAGGACACAGAATCACAGACAATAATCGCACAACGGCACGCCATGGCTTATAATAAAATTGAAGTAGTACTGAAAATGAGAAACCTCCATCACCATGCTATGCAATATTTAGGTTTACTATGTGAACCATGATATTTAGTTACACTTTATCAGGATAAAGTTTTAAAAGTTCGGAAAAGAAATCAGCTTTAAGAGAAGAAACCTACTATAGGCCTGGAAGATGGAAGATGCCAACTCAAAGGCCAAGAACATGCATGTCTAAGATTCGTTGCATTTCTTAAAACATAATTAAAAGAAAATCTCAGCACAAAAGTGACTACATGTTCCGTATTTGTCGTGTCAATAACCAAAATAAGTTTGGGAATCGTATAATAGCAAAAAATAGTCTGATGACAAGAAAAATTTAGAAAGAAAAATTGATAACCTTAAGCCTACGGACGCGTAGAACATTTATCCGATATAGGGAACCAGCAAGAATGCCACATAGACCCGGTATTAGAGACCTTTTCCACGATGATAATAGAAGCTGCATAATTTGAAAATGAACGATGACCATAAAATGAAACAGATGGTAGGAAATAATTTTGATAAAGTTTCTCAATTAGGTAATACTTTCAACAGCCTATAAGTTAAAAAGACTGAAGTTCCATCTACCTGAAGACCAGCTAAATATATGAAAGATTTGTCGGAGAAAGTTAGGCTAGAGACACGGAACCGTGTTGAAACTGGAATGTCGAAATAGAACGGTACAAAGGAAGAGAATATAAGGCCGTACGGCCCAGATGTGAGCACATTCAAGGTTGGATCTGCATAAATGAAGTCAAAAGTGCAAATTAGGCCATCAACTGTTGGGGCATGAGGGAACAAAGCATATTAATGAACATCGAACAACACGTCTCTTGACGAAATGATAACAATCATGTAATAAATTGCAAAAGAAATGAAGTATACTGAGTAACTTACCGTTAAGAAATGCTTGACCAAAAAGCTGTAGCAGTGAAGAGACAATTATAGAGAACAAGACAAATACCTGCAGACAAAGAAACGGTCATTTCAAATAATGAAACTCAGTGGAATAAGAGTATTCAAATCCATCACAAGATTAAGAGAAAATTTGATGATTTATTAGTCTTCTTTTAAAAATATAGTACATGGTTGAGATTTTTAACACAAACTAATGGAACAGAACCCAGCTAGTCCGAACATGCACACAAAACAATATATAATTGGTGCTCAGTATAACTTAT